CGAAGGCCGCGGCTGGTACTGGAAGGGTGGCAGGCAGGGACGGGGAAGGAAGATGGCGACGTCGGGGGCGAACGGGCCTGGCTCGGCCACGGCCTCGGCCTCGGCTTCCAATCCGCGCAAATTTAGTGAGAAGATCGCGCTGCAGAAGCAGCGTCAGGCCGAGGAGACGGCGGCCTTCGAGGAGGTGATGATGGACATCGGCTCCACCCGGGTGAGGGGCCGCGCCGGGGAGCCGAGCAGAGCTGAGCAGTTACAGAGCGGAGACCGGAGAGGCGGGGCGGGGGCGGGCGTCGCAGCGAAGGAGGCGGAACGGGGCAGGGGACGCGGGCGCCGCCGTTTGGGAGGCGCAGGTTGAGGGCCGAGGGACAGGAAGAAGGATTTTGCCGGGGGAGACCGAAACACTGGAGAGGTTGGGGGTGTGGAGGCGACTGGGGGCCCGAGTACGTGAGGCGGGAGTGGACGGAGAGAGGAGATGGGTCCGGCGGAGGTAGGAGGTGAGTGGTCCTTGTGCATCCCTGACGGAGTCCCCTCGAGGACGCTACTGAAGCATGCCTGGTATTGGAGTATGGCCTGGGAGGAGGGCTGCTTGCCTGTAACCTGGCTCCTCTGAGTTTGTGATCTCCTCCAAACTGGTCCCTCTGCCCTCTGCGCTTTGGTGCCCCCGGGAAAGGGCCCCTTGCGTGGTTTGAACGAGCGGTGCTGTGTATAGTGGGGCAGGAAGTCCCCTCCTGCGTCCCGTCCTTTTGCTTCCTTTTTCAAATACTTCTTGTGGTTTCCTGACGTGAATGAAGGTGAGGTCCATTGCCTGGTGTTTTGTCCTGGCCTCCTCGGAGGAGAGTTAGGGTTTTGAATCCTAAAACTGGGTAACCGTTCGACCATAAGTTGTGTGCAACTCTATGGTTTGCTGAGCTTTCTAGGGAGATGGCTGCTTTGTGGGTCCGTGTGTAGGGTGCCTTGGAGGGTTTCTATGTGTAGGGAATATTCATTCCTAGAAAGTTCTTGAGAGAACTTTCAGGCCTCTGCCAGGCTGCCTCTGAAGCCCCCCGGCCTTGATTTCTTGCTTTCCAAGGCTGGATGTCAGAGGGACCAAGGGGTGGGAGTCCGCCTAGGTGGTATGCAGTCTTAATTTAGGGACACATTCTTCTAAAAAAACTGCAATAAGGGTATTGCAGTGATTCCTCATGGCAGAGAGCTAGAAGGAATTTAAGGGTTGATGATGGAACGTTACTACAACATCTCTAGCCTTTTTCTGCTGGTCTGACTGTGGTTGCATCTGTGACTGTGACTCTGGTTGTATTTTTGTGTGTATCCCCCTTGACTCTGTTAGTCTTTTTTTTTTTTCCTCATCCTTTCCCCTTTGAGTCTCTAGGGAGTATGTGCCCTAGTTTGTGGGAGTCAGAAGTTAGGTGGGGAGGCAAATCTGGGAGGGTGTCTGTGCATGCATGTGCACACTTACGTGCATGTGTGTGCATAACCCACTGTAACCACTGTGAGGATTATGATCTAACTGTAGATTGCTCCCCTTCAGGAGCTTTTTCATCATGTTGGGGACAGAGACAGGAAGATGGGAGTCTGATCTTGATAGCTTGAGGCCCTGCCCTCAGGACTGTGATTCTAGCAGAGGCACGGTGGGATCTTAGGGCTTGTATGTGCAAAGAAAGGCTGTGCGAAACTCAAAAGCTGGGGCTTCTCTTTATGGTGCCTTGATCTCTTAAAAGGCCCCCTCTACCCACCTTGCTCCTATTGGTTAATTTCTCAGCTACACAGAAAAGTCTAGTGGGCTTACATGGCCAGGGGACCCAAAAGCCTAGAGCTAGGGACAAGAGATCTGGGACTCAGCCTGTTATCTGGCCAGGTGGGAGGGCTCATTTGAGACAGAGATGGTCATGGGAGGCTATACCACTGAGAGACTGGGGTTGCCATATATGTTGATAGTGGTCTTGAAGTGGTCCAGAGGTCAGCACAGTGCCCACTGAACTCGCTAGGCTGACCTCCTGAAACAGAACGTCAGTTCTGATGTTGGCTTCTGTACAAGAGTGTGACCCTGGAAGCTCTTAGAACTTGCCCCTCCTCAGCTACCCTCCTCCCCATGGCCTTGCCCTGGGCCTGTTTATTTGGCTGGTGGCAGGGGCTGAGCCTTGGAAATAGATGCTCACCTCTCACAGAGATAGGATATCTGTACACAGGCTAAATCCATGTCAGGCTGTCTGACGTCTATGCCAGACATATCTCCCCAAAGTGAGGATGAGACCAGGAAGATGGCTCTGGCCCATGCTGGAGTGGGCTACTGCTCTCTCCACCCTCTTCCTCCAGGCTTCCCTGCCAATTCAGGAGCCTTAGGATTCAGTGGAAGAATGTCCCTTGGTTTTGGTGCTGTTTTTCCAGCTAGGAGAGTTGTCATTCCTTGGATGTTCTAGTTTGGGAGGTGCAGGCTTTGTGTAGCCTTCCTGAGGCTGGGCAAGTGGCAGAGCCCAGAAGCCTGTCCTCTCCAGAGTGGGAAGGAAAAAGGCTGGCAGTAATGGCTCTGTGACATCCATCTGTAGCCTTCCTCTTAATGACCCAATTAGTCCTGGATGCATCTAGAAAGAAAGCAGAGGTTCCTAATAGGCACTCTCCCTTGTGAGTAGCCCGGGGGCTCCTGGCAGCCCCTCAGGGACTCTGCTTAGAGTGATGCCAAATGAGACAGGTCTTGAGCAGAATATCTGTCTCCGCCTGGCAGGATGATGTCAAACAGTAGTGATATCATTGATGAGGGCAGTCTGCAGATGGGCTCTGGTGGGTTATTTGCACCAAATCTCATTGGACCTTTCAAACCCCAACACTGGCCTTTTTTCTGGCAGATTATTTCTTTATTTTTATTTACTTTTTTTTTGGAGACAGGATCTCACTCTGTCACCCAGGCAGCTGGAGCAGAGTGACATAAACATGTCTCACTGCAGCCTCTACCTCCCAGGCTCAAGTGATCCTCCTGTAGCAACGGAGTCTTACCGTGTTGCCCAGTCTGCTTTCCAACACCTGGGGTCAAGCGATCCTCCTACCTCTGCCTCCCAAAGTGCTGGGATTACAGGTGTGAGCTACTGTGCCTGGCCTAGATTTTTTTTTTTTTTTGAGATGGCGTCTCGCTCTGTCACCCATACTGGAATACGGTGGCGCGATCTTGGCTCACTGCAAGCTCTGCCTCCCGGGTTCACGCCATTCTCCTACCTCAGCCTCCCAAGTAGCTGGGACTACAGGTGCCCGCCACCACGCCCAGCTAATTTTTTGTATTTTTAGTATAGACGGGGTTTCACTGTGTTGGCCAGGATGGTCTCCATCTCCTGACCTCGTGATACACCCACCTCGGCCTCCCAAAGTGCTGGGATTACAGGTGTGAGTTACTGTGCCTGGCCTAGATATTTTAAAAGCAGTGACAGCAGCAGCATATCCTGGTGACAGAGTTGGCAAGGATGACTGAAGGAAATAGTGCTCAGGACCTTCCTGACATTCCCACTTGTTCCCCATGTCTCAGTTACAGGCCCAAAAACTGCGACTGGCATACACAAGGAGCTCTCATTATGGTGGGTCTCTGCCCAATGTTAACCAGATTGGCTCTGGCCTGGCCGAGTTCCAGGTGAGTAGACACCAGCCAGGGAGGAGTGGAGGTTCTTTAGGCTGCTTCCTCTGCTGACTTCTGTCCTTTTTGGCAGAGCCCCCTCCACTCACCTTTGGATTCATCTCGAAGCACACGGCACCATGGGCTGGTGGAACGGGTGCAGCGAGATCCTCGAAGAATGGTGTCCCCACTTCGCCGATACCCCCGCCACATATCCTTCACAGGGGACTTGGGAGTGTCTGAAAGGTAGTGGGATG